AAAAATTAACAATGTGATATAGAAGAGATGTGCGTGTGTGAGCGCGTGTGTTTGCTTGTACCTTGGTCTGGGAGAGAGGAGCGCATTTATGTGTTTTTGTAGTGAATTAATGCATCCCTTTGGTTGCGTTACTACAAGTCGGAATAAAGACAATTAAGCCCTTAGCATTTCTGTCACACTCCATTAATTACTGTAGCCGCTGCTGTCCCGACCACTTCGTAACATATTCATCAGGTACGATACGAGTCCAGCAGCGTCAGCCGGTGAAGTAGGCTATTGTTAGTTTAAACTATAGCCTTTCAAATGTTCTTTATTTTACTTTTCATGCAAGATTGTTTTCCTCTCCTTTAAAGATGTTTTTCTAAAAATAAAACTCAACATAAATGTTTTAAGATTAGATTTGAGGGGCAAACAGTTTAATTTTCACCATATGTTGCCACAGCAGTTTGTAAATTAAAAAAAAAAAATCTTTCCACTAAAACCACCACCAAAAAAAATCTAATATAAAAAATGTATTCTTCCCAAAGCGTCTCCCTCCTGTGGGCTATTTTACAGCTCCCAAATAAATCTTTAAGGTTGCAAGGAAGGGAAAAAAACAAAAGTACCCTGATGACAGAAAAGCAAATCCTGCCATGATAATGTCCTTTATTAATATTATAGATGTGTAGTGTGCTGGATGGATCAATCATATCCATTCACAATCAGGATTAAGAGAGCCTATTTTAATGAAAATCTATTAGTCTCTCGCTTGAGACACGGATGCTGCTTAAATCAATAAACAGCATAAAAGAGAATACGACGCAGGTTTCTAAATTAAAAAAAAAATCCCATCTATGAAATGTGTTAAGACGTCTGTAAAATCCTGAAACCCTCGATCGATACTTATAAATATTTAATTTTTTTTAAACACAAATTGAAAACCATTAACACTGCATCCATTCTTATTATTAAAACAAATTGTCCTTGGAATTATGTGCTGTGGAAATGGAGCCAGATTGAAAGGGCATCCTCTGAAATATGTTTACTCGCTTTCATGTAAACCAATAAAGATCTGCAGGAGTCTGTAGCGTGAGCAGAAAGGTTTGATGTACAATATCCATGATTACAGTCCCTGAATTAATCAAGAGAGAGAGAGGGAAGGAGGGAGCGAGATGGAGAGAGAGAGGACTCCGTTATCTACTCAACAAAATCTTGCTCTCCGGGTCAGCGCTTATTAAAACGTGGATTAAACCGATGATTTTTCTGCTTGCTTATTTGGCCCATTCCGACCAAAATAAGCTGAAGGGGGGAGAGTGGGAGGAAATCAGTTTCACCCTACGTCATACCACGAGTAAATGTACAAACGTAAATTCCTCCTTTAAATATGAAATTCAATACTTTGCCTCGGAAATGCTTAAAGCTAATGCAACGTTTAAACTCATTCATGATTATTCCTCTCGTTTAACTCGGAGAAAAACCACAGTGGTCAAGAGCTTCCTTTGGAAGAGGAATTAAAAAATGACACATGGATTGATACCACGCTAAATAAAAGCTCCTCTCTCTGCAGCCCAAGATCCGCACTCTCCGCTGCCAGGCTGCCCGCCCTGCTCGCAGATGCCCCCTCTCGCTTTGGGGAGGGGGCACCGGGGGCGGGCTCGGCTCCGTGGGGAGCAATCAGCCCCGATGGGATGGCGTGGGCAAGGGAAGAGGGGCAGAATAAACGGGCCATCCCTTTTGTCCACTCAGGACCCCCAGACGGGCAGAGGGCTCCTGTCCTGCCCCGGGGCAGTAGGGAGGGAGGAGGAGGAGGAGGAGGAGGATTTGGGGGCATGGTGCCCTCAGGTGGGCCGGGCAGTCGGGACAGCCCTCAATGTGCCGCTGACGGCCTGTCCTGCAAGGGGGAAACGGGGACAGCGGGGTGGCTTGTGGCACCGCACAGAGGTACCCAGGGTGCCGCGGGGAGCCGGGGGCAGAGGGAAGTTCCGAGGAGCGCTGGTGACTTTTTAGGTTTGCGGCAGGATCCCAGGAGTTCCGTTCCTGAAGAGAATGGTATTTGGGCGGCAGTTCCTCTCTCTCTCTCCCTCCTTCTTTCTCTCTCCCTGCATCCCTCCTCCCCAGCCCATTTATCAAGAGCAGCAATAAAGGTAATTCCTCTCTGAACCCTCCGTCAAAGTTTGTAGTGGGGACAAAATTGCCCCTCAGTTTTGTTCCCACCTGCACCACCTTGCCCTAAGTCCCCCCCAAAGCCGCGGGCTGCGCAGAGAGGGGGGCCCAGGGGCGCTCCCCGCCTCCCGCCGCTCCCTGCCGCGCCGCTGGGACGGGCCGAGCCGGGCCCGGCATTCCCCGCGGAGCTCCGCGCTGCGCACCGGGCCGTGCGCGCCCTCGGGGATGCCCGCGGTTCCGCGCCCCCGCCGCTCGCTCCGCCAGGGTCCGCGCCGCGGGGTGGCGGCCGGGTCCCCGGGAGAGTTGAACTTTGCACTGGTCCTGTTTTGTTTGTTTGTTTTTATTATTTTCCCGGCTTTCTCCCTTTCCCTTTCCGGTGCTTTGTTTCGCTTTTCTCTTTCGGAGCAAGTCTGAGGCAAGTTCCCCGGGGCTGCGAGGCTCCCCCGGGCCCTCCCCGCTGCCGTCGAGGCCGCCCGGTGGCGGTGCCCGGCGCCGAGCTGCGCCCCGCGCCTGCGGGAAGCGGGGACAGCCACCTTCCCACCCCACCGGGCGCTGCTGGGAAGCAGGGAGGGAGGCATGTGGAGCAGGCAGGAGAGCTTTCCCCCCACCTCTATCTGAGGAGGGGATTTGCCCCTGTCCTGGGGGCAGGAGCCCGGCAGAGGCAGGAGGCGCCGGGGGCTCCGGGAGGAGCGCGGCCGCGCTGGCGAGGCTGCAGGCGTGGGGCTGGGCGCAGGGGGGAGCTGCGGGCAGGAGAGCGGGACGGGGGCGACAGGGAGGAGAGAGGGATCCGGCGGACTCGGTGCAAACTCCGGCAGCCCGGGGAAGCCGACGCCTCTCCAGCGCTGGGGACGCGGAGTCAGTAAATATTTATCCTTGATTGCTGCTTGCTGCGAGGGAGGCAGAGGGAGACCGGGTACGGCGGGGATCGGTGCCGCTCGAGCCGAGGGATGGGGAAGTTCCCGCCCCGGCACGGAGCCTCTCCCACGGGGAGTGAGCGCCGGGGTCCCCGCGTGTCCCGCGTGTCCGTGACACCCTCGCAGCACGCACCAGCCCGCACGACAATCCTCCACGAGCCCTTACATGCACAGAGAGAGGCACAAGCGGAGTGTCGTGCCGGGATCTTTCCTCAGCCATAGATTACTTCCCCGTCTATCGTTTGCCTTTATTATTTATGTGGTGTCGTGTGATATACATTAGAGCCTCGGATTTGATTGGCGTTTGCGATGACAAGACCTGTTTTTTAAGTTGTAAGGCTTCCTCCGCTCCCTCACTTGTTAAACGAACTCTGGAGGAAGGATGCCACCGAGACACGACAATATAATAAATGTCAGGGATATCCGCAGTGCCGAGATCAAATGATCAATCCTTGTCCGCTAGATAATCATTTTAAATTCGCACAGGGGGAGATTGATTTTTTTAAGCCCTTTATTAATTGCTTCCTCGATTATTATTTTTCCCCCTCCTCCTGTGGAAGTGTTAACTCTGGTGCTGGGGGCGCCTTTGGATTAATTAAACGTATTTTTAGCGTTTTAATGTTCTGCTAATTTTCAGAACAGTTCCACACTCCCCCGGAAAAGAAACAATGGCCCCTTGCTCCAACAAGGAGCCTGCTTTGGTTGCGATTCAGAGCAGAGGGTGGCGTGATGATGAGCTCTGATTATCTCAAACTCGAGGCGGGGGAACGAGAAGGACGTAAAAAGCCAAACGACCAGAAGACAAAATTCCTCCAAATACCGAATAACCCTTCGCGTTAAAGCCCGAGGAGGAGACAGAAATAAATAGCTGGGAAGTCGGCTCCGCACGGGGGATCAAACGGTGCGGAGAGGCGCTGGAAATGCCGGCGCTGTTATCTGGAGACGAATTTCAGGCAGCTATTCAAGCGCACAGAATAATAATTATTCCAGGAGTACAACAAAAATAACTGCAGCTTACCAAGATCAAGGTGGGGAAATTATTGCGAGTTCTATGTTAAATCCGGCAGGGTATGTTTCGTTGGGGCAAAAAAAAAAAAAAAAGAAAAAAAGGTTTAATGCTCTATTTGTCGTGTACACACTCCCGTGTTAACAAATTATCCCTCTGCTGCATGCAGCAGGATAGCTCGATATCCAGAGAAACATTTCAGATTTTAATTTCCCCCTACAGTACCTTCAGACAACGTAGTAACAATAAACAAGAAGACAGATCCTGCAACGTTCACATACATCTGGAGCGACTCCCTACCTACGGATACCCCACAGCCAAACAACCCACCCCACATCCTCTGAACACACCGACACGGAGCTCCGAGGCACCTCGCAACTTGTTTAGCTGCAGCACACGTCCCCCTCCGTGCACCCACCCACCCACCGCCAGCCAGAACAGGCAACACTTTTAAAACAGCATGTTTGTTTCGCCGATTATTTTCACCGTTTACTTAAGAGAAATTAGCTAAATAGCAAATCAGGTAGAATTTCCAATGATTACCAAAAAATGCACATCTCCGGCTTTTTATTCATTACCTTTTTATTGAACACTCATTTTCCTTTCCTCTTGACAGCGATACATTTAATTGCAGGAGCTCAGTTATTTGGTTAGCTGTGGGTCCGTTTTTACTCACAGTGTTGCCACGCACAGGATGTCCTTAAAATCAATTAAGTCTTCCTCGACTCTCATTTCTGCAACCCATTTACAGAATGTAGATACCTATTTTCATGTTTTCCTCTTCCCCCCTCCCTCCCTTTTATTTCTCTCCCTCTCTCTCTCCCTCTCCCTCTCTCTCTCTCTTCGTCTCCCTCTCCCCCCCTCTTTTTCACCGTTGCCTCTTTGCCTCCCTAAATCAAGGTGCAAAGATGCCAAAGAGTGATGAAATGAAAAGAAAGCCAATTGCTGGACTGAGGTGGGGGAGATAGCTGCTCGGAGTCCGCCTGCGACTATGGAGCAGTCAGTAATTGCTGGAGACAGGGAGAGCTGGGGGTTGGGCTGAGGTAGCCATGTATAAATAGTGTGATCTCAAATTGAAAGGCATAAATAACAGCAGGAGTGATCTAACCCTATACAGCCCATCTTCTACGTGCAAAAACAGCGTGCGGAGGACGGCCACATCTCCGATTGAAAACAAGTGGATCTCTGTGGATAAGATCACCGGGCAGCCATGGAAGAACTTACGGCTTTTGTATCCAAATCTTTTGACCAGAAAAGCAAAGAGAGCAGCAGCGGCAGTGGCAGCGGCAACAAGAAGGAGACCATCACGTACAGGGAAGTTTTGGAGAGTGGGTTGGCTCGCTCTAGGGAGCTTGGAAACTCTGATTCTAACCTGCAGGACATGACCGAGAGCAGCAACCATTGCCCGGTGCATCTTTTCAAAGACCACGTAGAGAGCGACAAGGACAAATTGAAGGAGTTCAACACGGGCAGGACAGCGGAAGGTAAGAGCAGGGCTGGGAGCCCTTCGCCCCGCGCTTCTCGCCGGCATCCCCGGTCCCCTCGGCGGCCGCCCCTGGCTCTCCGCGGCGGGGGCGGCTCGGCCACCGCGGCCCCGGTGCGGCCCCGGTGCGGCCCCGGCGGGGCGAGCGGGATGGTCTCCCCGCATCCCGCTTCCCTGCGGCGGCCGCCTCCCTCCCTGCCTGCCTGCCTCCCGCGGCGGGAACACAGGCTTAGGAACGCGTACTCCTGCATGCATAACGTGAACGTAGCCGCGAAAAACAAGTCACAACTTCGGTGCTGCCCCCCCGCCAGCCTCCGTTCACATCCGAAATCGATCCGGTGCGTTAGGCGTTCTCTCGCCCGGGGGAAGGGGGCAGCGCAGCACGTCAGACGTTTTTGTCTCTATCTGTGTATTTTTGTACGAGGAAACCTTGTCCAGGGAGTTTTAATGCCTTGGGAGACCTGTTCTTCCTGCTTCCGGGCCGTCAGGATGCTGCTGCTGTTCGGGGAGAAAGCGGGAGGCGGAGAGGGCTCTCTCTGGACATTTTGTCTTGGGTCGGTCAGCCTGTCCCTACTCGGAGGCTCCGAGCGGCGGGGACGGGAAGCAGGAGAGGAGCCTGGCTGTGGGCAGCGGCCCGGAGCCGCTGA